AGTTCTACGACAATGAGCTGATACTCTCTTGCGTATACTCTGCCTGCCTTCCTTTTCTGACCCTAAACCGAGAAGACAGACCTTTACTATGTATTACGGGGAGCTCTTTTGTTGAACATGGGTTACAGCATATCGGAGTGGGATGGAAAAATGCGTGGTGTTAAACATGGAGACGTCGAAACAGATATTTCTACGTCGGATGTGCGCAGTAGTAACTCTCTCATGAGATCGTATGTTTCCCAATAATTTATTTCCTCTGAATTTCAGATCCATGTTGTTTTATCAATCGCTCTTCATGCTATCACTCTCTATCTGGTCGTGTTGATGGCCTATATCCGATACCGTGCCATGCGAGTCGTATCTTCTGAATGGCTCAAATCCAGTCGATCAATGTGAGAGCGTACTCTAATTAGCTTAACTGAGACCCGTGTAATCAATTTTTTCTGATCGGGTTTGGGTGGGAATGTACTCACTCCAGTACTTCCGAATAGCCACCTAGCACCGCCGTTGGCGGTAAAAGGGCATGGGAATTGCCTAATCAGCTCTCTTTTCAAATGTAACTTCCACTGCTTAAGCTGTACGACTGAGACTTTTAGTAGCTCTATTCTAGTTCTCCTTTTGCGGTTTTTGGAGCTTCCAAAATAGCTACCTATCTAATCCACTGACACAGGAGAAATCACCGGGGTCTGTCGTAAGTTGGATTCTGGCGCTCCTCCCCGCTCATATCTGTGCAGGGAGGCATTTTGATGCGTAACGGACTATGATTCTACATTAAATGACGTATCTAGTAGGCCGGCTTTGGCTACGGAAAAGTCCACGCTGTCTGCCTCCCACATGATTGTCCTTTCCATCACACCTACTCCTATTCTGAGAGCTATCTGCATTACCAATTACCGCTCGCATACCTAATTTATAGCGATCCCTGCTTTCATTATCTCCGACAGATTCAGGACAAGTTTTGTCCATAAATCGCCTTGTGAGATTCGGGACACCCAAAAATGGCAAAAGTGATGAAAACAGTGTAGGAATGTTATTCCGGGTTGACATAAACTCACGAAGCCAGCACAACATCAAGATTTCTTCTTTGATTCTCAACGTTTACAGATTCACGGCTATTGTAATTGCTATCTGTGTATTTGTACTGTGCATCCCCACCCTCCTTTCACATGATATCCTTGCAAGACAGTCGGATTCTGCTGATGGTCACCAAACGGCCTTGTACAGGTTGGTTTCAGATATTTCTCTCTTGAGGGTCGTGAACTATGAGAGAATATTCAAAAAAGAAAATTTTCTCCTTACTTACCATTGACTTTCCTAGAGCAATCGTCGCAAGATGTTCATGATTGCAATCGAAATAATTTCCCGTTTTGATTAGTCATACCAGCTATTTTGATATTATTTATGTTATTTTTACTTTTTTCTCACGTCAAATAACGCTCTTCACCGACCCTTTCCCGAGGATGCCCCGCCCAATCGGGGCGGACCTACCTCATCTTTTCAAGAATACCCTGCTCGCTTTCATCAGTTTTTCCCTACTTCAGGATTTTTGAGTGATTAGCTTATTTCACTCGATTTGTGGCCCGTTTCCCATCAAAAACGAAATATACCCGAGTTATCCCAAATGAATCTTCTAGTGATACCTGATGATTAGGGACAGAAAGCTGTCGAAACTAACGAGTTATAAGTGATAAACAGATGGATAGATTCAATATTGATGGATTGTTTATTGTTTATTTGAGCAGTTTGGGTAGAACTCTACGCTTTCTCAAAAGCTAACATATTCCAGTATCGGCTTCTCTGAAATGGTTCTTGAAAACGGATGCTTTCTGATGAAAGGGAATCTCTGGTTAACTGGTATATTTCTGAAGGTAATCTATATCGTTGATTTTCTGTTAGGAATTCTACCGTACTTCTAGAGCCTTCCATATTTTATGTAATCTATATCGTTGATTTTCTGTTAGAAATTCTACCGTACTTCTAGAGCCTTCCATATTTTATTGATTTTATTGATTATCGAGAGTTCTGTAGGCAATCCCGTGTGTACTCCTGTTCTGGTTTACAATCGCACTTATTGGACGAATGAAAGAAAATAAAGAGAAGCGGAAGAAACTTTTAAAAAGCCGTGATGATAAAGGAAAACGTGATGTCACCACTTATATGTGAGTTTTTTAGAAATCAACTCGTCACTACCATCTCACTCCCTGATTTTCAGGCTCGTATTCATGGTTACGGTGTTTCTGATAACAGAGCTACCGCAAGGCGTTATGGCTGTGCTTAATGGTACGTTGACTTTGCACATACAAAATTCTTACAAAGATCAATCACCGGTGCCATGTCACGGTGATGTGCTTCTCATCAATTACGCAATTGGCGGTGTAGGCCATGACAATTTGTTTCGCACCATTCACGCGGCGGGTGTATGTCACGGCGATGTGTGTGACTACTACAAAGGAGTAAGGTCACAGCGTAAATTAGAGCGCGATATAAAAGGTGGATGGTCGCACACTCCATATTTTTATTACCTCTATAATATCCGTTGCTTCGAATAGACGAAAAGGGCCCCGCC